TCAATCAGTTTTGAACTCCATTATATTGGTTGCTATTTCAACTCAAGAGACTCATCTTTCACATATGGAATGTTTGTTTTAGTGGCTTCCTCATTAAAACTAATTTAGTTACTAGAAAGGAACCTTCAATGAATGCATGGAATATATTTGTTTATAGTAACATAAAATTTGTGGATGAAAACGTATTCAAAACATACTGAAAACTTTTGAAGACACTTAAACATATCTCAGGATGCTACAATATAATTTGTGACAAACACCACATACAAATGTTTGTATGAAATCAGAAATTAAATGTCTTATTTTTGTGATGTTCGATGTAGCAAGTCTTGAATTATATAAAAGTTTAGTGGCCTCCCTTTTGTTTCTTTTCAAGGTAAATAATAAACTAAGAAATTAAATAGTGACCTATTTAAAATTGCAGGTTTGTGAGGATCTTTTGGAATGAACGAAAATGTGTCATATCCATGCAATCACTGATCAAATGATACATTGATGAAACAGCAAACACATCTCTGAATTTTAAGTGGTTGAAAATAAAAGAGGATGTAGGATAATCTCAGCCTCCCATGGCTGTTGCCCCCAATTTTCCTTTATCTCATGCATTTATTGAGCATTTTCCCTGTGACAGGTACCAAATGCAATACTTTAACTTATGGAGTGGTAAAGCTATAAGACAGCTCTGAATCTGATTTTTCCATTTGTCTACAGCATTGACCAGCTTCTGAAAACATAAATCCATATAAATTCATTTTATTTCCTCTGGACCTACTATTTGGAATCAGGCCAATATGTTTCTGAATGTACACAACATGTAACAATGCCATGATTATGCTGTCATTTGTTTTCTATTATGAGCTTTTACAAACCCCTTTTTGATTGCTAATTAACTATAAATATGTACTCTCCTCTTTGGATAAGGTTCCTACTTTTCATTCACCACCAGACATGAAGATACTGGGATGAAATATGAGGGAAGGTAGTATTAAAATTTGGCTGGGTTTACCCATACCAAATGACTCTATATATGTGTGTCCACCAGAGTTCCATGTGTACCCAAAATGTGTCATACTCTATCCTATGTGATTCTATACCTACATGCCCCACATACCTAGAAAAAGCCCTATTAGGTTCTAATTTCACAGATTATTTTGCTAGGATATTGTGTGTGCGTGTGTATGTTTCCTGTATGTGTCCATGTGCACTTGGAGGGCATAAATCAACACTGGACATCTTCTTCAGTTGCTTGACACCTTATTTTTTTGCCATACTGAACTGGAATCTCTGAATTGGCCATACTGGCTGGCTAGCAAGCTCCAAGAATCCACTTGTCACCCCTTTCCCAGCACTGGGTTTGTACCAGTTTTATTAGTGCTTTGGGACTCTACACTGACACTTTCATTCTTGAAAGACAAGTTCTTCACTGACTCATAGTCCACTCTACAGAAAAAAAAACCTCTTTATTAGATAAATACGTCTTTCCTTAACCAGAACCATACAACAGAGAGACCCTTGATTATCTCCTAATGGGTAGATTCTTACCTACTTTAAGGAAATTATTCCTGAAATGAGCCCAAATTCCAAGACATTGTGCTTGTGTATACCAATAATGACACCAATCAATAATTGAAAATTTTTATTTAAGAAGCCAATCAATAATTCATTACAGAGTTTCTGATCAAACAATTAGTCCAAAGATGAATTCCATACAAGTTGAATGTAAGTGATTCAAACAGGCACATATCTTGAAACAAATCAAAAAATATGTAAAAGATCCCATTGAGAGTGTGTGGCATTATTTCTTATCTTGTGGAGACTGTCTCAGATGAATGAATTGTGTTCTGTGTGTTTGTGCATGTTTGTGTGTCCCTGTGTATGCATGTGGTGTGTGTGTGTGGATGCACGCGCGGGCGCGTATGTGTGTGTGTTATGTGTGTTACATGTGTGTGAGAGAGAAAGGGAGCCTGATGGTGGGAGGGAAGGTGGGAGGGAGAGGAAAAGACGAGAAGGGAGGGAGGGAAGGAAGGAGAGAGGGAGGGAGGGAGGGAAGGAGGTGGGGA